GTTTCAGTATCAGATTATCTTAGCCTGCTTAACATCATGTCCAACCACTTAAACTTTTAGGTGAAACTTGTAGGGACATGAAGGAGTCAGGAGAAGGCTGTGGAAGGGAGGTGGTTTTAAGTTGAAGTCTGGCCTCAGCCTCTTCACAGGCTGCTCTAGGGGTATGAATGGCACTACTCAGGTATCCCACACGGAAGCAGGAGGGCCAGATTGTCTGCCTCCATATCAGTAAGTCACCGGGTAAGGGCTGCCCCTTAGGAGAGGAAAGGGGAACTTCTACGCCCAGGCATTTCCTGGTGGGGTGGCTCCCCATTGCAGGAGGGCAGTTCTGTGAAGATGAGTGCAGCTGTGAGCTTTCAGAGCCAATGGTGCTGTAGTTGGGAGACAGGTGCACTTGGTGGTAAAGGAGATCTGTGGAGGGCACCAGTGGCATCTACTGCAAGAAACCTTTATTGAGCTCCTACTGAGTGCAGTGCCCAACACTGCTCTAGGCCTTGAAAAAAAGTGATGACGAGACAGACAAGGTCATTGCTATTGTGAAGTTTTCTTTCTAGTGGTGATGAGGAGATTCATTATAAATAAATAATTCAATAAACAGAAAATATCAATGCTACAATGGAGTGATGTAAAAATAGTGTAAAGGGTATATGATGAGGAGTAAAGGAGTAAGTTTGCCAGCAACTGCTATCTTCAAAATCATGGTGGGATTTACAGCAAGACATTTTAGCATTTCATCTGCTTTGTCTGTTTTAGAGACTCAGTGGATTAACTGACCCAATGTACAATGGATCCTTGAAAGATTACGGATAACAGTAACTAGAGGGTTGTGAGAACTTGGCTGGTGAGAGGTGGGAAAAGGGTTTCAGCCAACAGCTGAAAGTACCAGGCCCAGCTAGGGTCTGACCCAGGGAGGATAAGGTTACCAGGGATACTGGTGCTGGTGGGAATATTGGTGAGGTAATCAGGAAATAGAGGGAACAGAGGCAGGAATGTTTAAGACTTGTCATAACTCCCCAAACATGAGATTTATAAACTCTTTGAACAAGACCAGTGATTCATGTTCTCACTCACTGATTACAATAGGAAATCAGGAACTGAGCCTGCAGCTAAGTGAGACGGAATGAAGCCGGGACTAGCTCCACAGGCTTTGCAGTCTGCACGAACAAAGGTGTTTTTATATTGTGTACACACACACACACACACACACACACACACACACACTCTCTCTCTCTCTCTCTCTCTCTCTCTCCCTCTCTCTCTCCAAGTGTTATGTACAGATGAATATCATTTTCCACTGAGGACTTAAAGTCTGCTGCTGCATTCCTTGAACACTGTTGCTAATACTTTACTGGTTTCTGCTAACAGCTGATCAGATGACAGAAATGCTGCATGGTCACCAGTGCTAATGTGTTTTAAGATGCGATTTTTAGGAATACATTGTGTCAAAAAAGCATAAACCATTTAGTATAAAACTGGACCAAAATAAGCAGAAGCCTCAAATTTTTAATAATATGAGTTTGAGTGAACTCTTTGAGCTCAAATTTCATCATGATTGTAGGAATTAAATGATATATGCCACATGTATCTAGGACAGTGCCTGGCGTGTGGTAGGGACCCAGTTAAAATTAAATCTCTTCTTTGTAAGTCTTTATTTTCTTCTATCAGTATGTAGATGAATGCCACATATTCTGCCCCTTCCTCTCTTCTTAGCTTTAGATCTGCATTTTGCTTTAAAAAAATATCCACATAGGTATCTCTGGGGCATTTCAAATCTAAAATGTCCATGTCTTCATACCAACTTTCCCTTTTTGAATGTCCTCCAGCCCTCTTTCTATATCTGGTTCATGGTGGGCCTCAGTAAAGCAGTGTTGCTTATGTGACTGGTACAAGAAAGAATGAATGTTTCCTCTCTGAGTGTGTGGAATCCTGTATCCAGTCACCTGGTCTATAATTGGTGTGCACTTCACCTTTACCTGTCCTTCATCTTGACAGCCAATCATTACAAAATCATTTCTACATTTTTCAAGGACTCCCAAGTATTTCCTTCTTTTCCTCTCCCACAGCCACTGGCCATGCTTGGTTTATTGCAATAGGTTCTTCTCCTGCACTCTGGAGTTGTAACCAAGTCCTTTCAATTCCGTTCTTGTAATAGATGTAATATTTCCCTCCCTCCCCCTCTGGGCCATAATTCTGTTTCTCATCTCTTTCCTAGACCATAGCTTTCTGGTTTAGAATCCAGCCTCCAATCTATCCTCTCCATTCCTCACATTGTTCCAGCCCATAAAGCTGATCACTAGACTCTTGCTCAGAACCCTTCAGTGACTCCCATGGCCGGCAGCATCAAGCCCATACTTGTCTAGTTAGAGCCTTGTCTGCTTCACTGTTCGTGCTTCCAGCTTTTCTCTTCCACATATTTATAATTAAGCCATATGAACTGCTCATAGTTCCCAAGTATCACATGCATATCAGTGACCCCATAACTTGCCACATGCAGCTGTTACAACCTGGAATGCCCTTCCATATCAAGTCTACCTGGAATACTCTTATTTTTTCTTCAAAATAAAAGTATTTTCTTCTAGGAAAATTTCTTAGACCCTTATTTCTCCTTTTCTTTCACAAGCAGACGTTTCCTTTCTTTGTGACAACATTAGTGCAAAGTATTTTTTTTAAGTGAGGAACACATACCAAGTGGCTGAAGACGATCCACTGAACATGGGAAGATGTTAGAATTTGTATTTATTTTGATCTCTAATATATGAAATAAGCATTACTAATATTTAGTGTACAAACTGACACTGTTGCCCTCATGTGTTCAGTTTGTCACATACAGGATATGGGAAGTACCCAGACAGATTGTAGGAGTTCATATTATGAGATGATGACAGTGGTTTTCTCAGGTATTCATTTGATTGCATAGTATGACAACACACAACAGTTTACCAGTTTAGCAGATTTGCCCAATTCAGTAGATTTATGATTTATGTTACCTACTTTTAACAAAGCTATCCCTCACATGATAAACCCTACAGTGGTTTAAAAGATTCTGGAAAAATAACTCTTGTTGAAAATAGTATTAAAATGTAAAATTAATGTGAAATTGGCAGAAAATTATGCAAGAATAACTATTGATGGGGCATCTGATTTGACTGAATAAAGAAGAGACAATGGAGTAAGGTTGCAGAGGACACTGCACATGAAATGAATTCACTCCACGATGATTCAAAACAAAGCATTGAACACAAAGAAGTTGAAAGTAGATTTGCACAATGCACTAAAAGATGTTGCCAGTTTGATATATCATACCACAAGACATTTAAAGTAAAGCCAGAATGATTGCATATTTTGTAATGAGATTGGAACAGACAATGAAAATCTTTTATAATACACAGGCTCACTTGTATGTTACTGTAAAGTATTTAAAATATCTGTCAGACCTACACCTTTGTCTTTTACAAAGTTAAGAGTTAATGATTTGTTGATCTGTCTGTGTGTTAAATGGCTGTCAGAGATATGGTATTTAACAGATATTTTAAAAATTAAAAGAACATTTAATTTGATCCTTCAAAGTAAAGGTCATGCTTTAGCAGTAAAGTAGAAAATAACTCCTTAAGGAAAATCTCTGAAAAGAGCATTTTGAAATCAGATGATTATAACTATTTTAATTGTTAGGTATTTTTGTGGCTGAAAATAATGTATATCACCCTGTGATATTGTGATATGATAAGAAATATATATTTGGTCTTCATTCCTGTTCCTGGCACAAGAGCTTCTAATTTCCTGAGTGGAAGGGATATTTCTTGTTATAATATTTGATCTTCATCCCCAGTTCTAAGACCCTTGGAATCTCCTGGAGTGACAAGTCTTTTCTTCAGATCATGAGGTGTCTCTGGGGCCCAGAGCTAGCTTCAGAAGGGGGCAGGTTGCCAGAGAAATCAACTATGTAATTAGAGGGTCAGAACTTTACTCCCCACCTCCTTACCTCTGGGGAGGAGAAAGAAGAGGACTTGGAGATGAACTAATTCACCAGTGCCAGTGATTTAATCAATTGTGCCTACGTCACTGAATCTTTATAAAAATCCTAAACAGTGGAGTTTGGAGAGCTTCTGGGTTGGTGCACACACTGAGGTGGTTGTAGGGTGGTACACCCAGAGAGGGTCTGGAAAATCTACACCTGTTCCTCTACTTGCCACCATGACTTGCCCTCTTCATCTCTTCCATTTGGCTGTTCCCAAGTTGTATCCTTCATAATAAACCAATAGTAGTAAATAACATGCCTTCCTGAGTTCTGTGAGCTGTTCTTGTAAAGTAGGGAACCTGAGAAGGAGGTTGTGGGAACCCCTGATTTATAGGTGGTGAGTCAGAAGTACTGGAGGTTCAGAACTTGCACTAACTCCACCAAGTGTTTAGTGTCAATATTAAATTGACATGTAGACATCCAATTGGTGTCTGTAGAGAACTAGAGGATTGCTGGGTGTGGATAACCCACACATTTGGTGTCAAAAATGCTGAAATATAGGAATAGATCATACACTAAAGCTTGAAATACTATTTCCTATATATTTAACAATCTTTTAAATGAAGCATTTCCTTGAGTTTTGAACCCATTTGTTCAAAATATGAAATGTGGCACAGCCTGCCTGTACAAAACCAGATTGACCTCAGGAAAGATGGAAATTTCCAAGCCCAATTCCCAAGCCTAATTGTAGCAAAACCTTTATGTATTTGACAAATGAGATTGAAACATGAACGTTGAGCTCTAGAGAGTACAGTCAATGTTTGTGCTTCCGTTTGGATCTACAAGTCTTTGTAAGCTCTTTTTCCCCTATGATAACCATTGAAACAGTTGTCAAAATAAACTGAATTTAGGATTAGACCTTTAAATCACACAAATAATAAAGTGTATCATCAATCACATTGTTCTCTCCAAAATATCCTTGTTAATTTTTAATGAGAACAAAAAGTTTTTTATATTAACAAATAAAATCTAAAAGTGTTTTTAAGTTATTATTTTTTATTTTTAGCTCAGTTCATTTCAATTTTTGTATATTTTAGAATGTATCTTCACCAAGAAAACCTTTTATTGATAGTACATTTAGAGCCACTGACCTACACAGGCTCTGTTGTACAAGCCATTCTTTAACACAATTACATGTCCCCACCTGTCTTCCCAGCTAGACAATGAGCTTTCCCTAAGGGCAGGGACGGCTTAGAACTGCCTCTCTCCAGCCTCATGTCTGGAATATGGTGGATGTTAAGATAAACATTTGTTAAACAAATAAACAAATGCAACATCTCTTCCTTCCCATTCATCTGTGAGACATCCATTTAGAGAATCCTGTTTCTGAAATGGATAGATGAGTGGCCCTACATTTCCATGAATGAAAGTCAGACTCGAACATGATATTTAAAGATGCTATTTACTCTAACTCACCCTACCATCATCTTACTCCCCTCCACACAACTATATTCTAGACCTACTCAGTGTTCCCCCAAACTTTTCTTGTATCTGCAAACTAATACATGTTTGTCTGTTCCTCAACCTAGAAGCACCTTCTACCCTCCCTGTCAATTAAAATCATGTTTAATCATCAAGACCATGTTTTCTTCAGTCAGAATTGTCTTCTCTGCTGTGTCCCCATGGAACTGTTTTAATTTCTATTATAGCTCTTACCATGTACTGACAAGAATTATATTTGTCTTACATTTATCTCTGTCATGTGAGCTTCTTGAGAACAAGATCTGTTATAAAGAATTATTCATTCTATAACTTCATGCGTAATAATCTGCTTTACACATTGGAAATACATATTTGTTTAATACATTCATGCATTCATTCATTCTTTGGGCAAACTTATTGCATGCCTAGAATTTACAAAGCATGTGATAGGCAGTGGGTATGTATATATAAAAAAAAGATGATATCCCTTGTCTGTGGATAGTATGCCTTTTGAGGACACAGTCACAAGAGCAACTAAAGTTTCTTAAGAGTAACTTACTTTCTATGGAACAGGTAGTTCAGCAGGAAGACAGAAGTGAGAAATAAGTAATGTTTCGAAGAGGAGGCAACATTTGAGTTGAGCCTTTAAAGAACGAGTCTTAACAGTTTGTCAGGCAAAGTGAGGAGAAGGGAAGAAAAAACTTTCAAGAGAAAGTACACACGGTTATACACAATGCTTAAGAAACTGCCGTTGACTCAGTAACTCAGTAACCTTAAGGTATATGACTGAAGTAGCTGATTGTATTGAATGCCTATTATATGTTGGCCATTTTTTAGCATGAGTAATTATGTTAGGAACAAAACAGCTATTGACCTCAGCCTCCATGTTTATATTCTAGTTGCTAGTGAGAGAGAGGGAACAAGATAATTAAAATATGTTTATGTTTGATAGTAAGTACCATGGAGAAAAATAAAGCAGGAAAGGGGCTGGAGTTGAGTTTACAATTTTTACTAGGTTGGCCAGGGAAGGCCTCACTGAGAATTTAACATTTGAGCAGCACTGACAGTCAGTAGCCTCTTTCCAGTCTTTTGCCTTTATAAACATGCCTTGTGCTTTTTTTTTTTAAGTTTCATCTGTGTATTAAGTGCTTTTTTTCTTTTTGATGTGTCTTTAGTGATCCTATGACTAACCTTAAATAAATAGCAATAATACCTCAACTCAAATGAGAGAACAGTATAAAGGAACCACACCCTCATATTCATCCTGAAAGAGCAGGAGAGATTGCCCTGGAGAGGAAAGAACTTTTCAAGTCCCAAGCTGACAGGAGCTCTTTGATTTCTGGAAAACGTAGTTATTGAAATGCCCACCAGCACAAGTCAAAATGCTGCACATACTGCCTTTTTGGCCTCATTTTGGAGGTTCTCCACAGGGATTCTCCTGACAAAGTTCATAGACCAGTGAAAACAGTTGCCATTTATAACCACTTATTCAGTTAAATTTGGGTTCAGAAATACGATAGATAACAGACAAGAAAAGTCGTCCAGATGCTTAACTTGCCGGGCAGCGTCAGCGCTTCAGCTTAGCCTGGTTTCCTGAAGGTGTTGGTTCAGCTCCTCGTTGCTGTTTTCCTGACGGTGACTGAAACAGTTTGTAGTGAAACAGTTGGGTGTGCTGTGGAAGAGCATTCAAAGTCTTCATCAAATGTTAAGATAAAACAAGATGACAAAGAAATGTGCTCCTGCCCTCTGCCCTCCAATTCCTTCTCCTCTGCCATTCAAATGACTCTGGAAAATAGGCTGAGGTTGAAATGAACTCTTGAGCTTTTGCTACTGAAAGCAATATTTATCATTTTTTCTTAGGATATAGAACTGTCTTCCTTTAAGAAAATTGATCATAAAAACTTAATGAAATGGGTACATTACAGAAAACTTAACCATAGATTTCCTGTAATTTAAGAGTTCCCCAAATATAAGGCTTATTTACATATGATTTTTTATTTGACTTTAGTGATTCAAGTGTGATAAATTTAAAACCAGAGCACTGGGAATTTTTCAAGTTGATGAACAACCAGAGATGAAGATAAAATAATTCATTATTATAATATACCAAATAATATGATATATAAAAACTTATATTATAAGCTTTAGGTAATAAATATTATGTGAAAAATGTATTTTAAGTTATTAGCCAAAAGAAGCAGCCCTAATTAGCTTCATGGAGAGCTGGTGTATTTAAGTCTTCTGATAGACTTAAATAGTAGTGGGCTGAGATCAAACATACTTCCTTTAACTCTATTTTGAATTGCCTGTGGTAAAATGTCCTTTGATATTTAATCTCATGCCAGATCTAGTTCATACTCTGCCAAAGATGGTACATTATTAGTTTGGTCAGTAAGTGCATTTAAATATATCATGAATTTAAGCTTCTCAAGGGAAGAAATTTTTGCATGTTTTGTTCACAGATACTTCTCAAGCACGTAAAGCAGTGCCCATTAGTAGATGTTGAATAAATATTTATTGAATGAAAGAGGATGGAATGTCCTGATATGAAAACATATTCACTTATGAATTTTTGACTCTATCACACTTTTATGCTGTTACTCAGTGAGGCTTTTAAAAATATATAAATTATTAGATACTATTATTCTGATAAAGATTTATTCCATGGACACAGTATTCACCAGTCTTATACTCTGGTTTCATCTGTGTGTGCATCTTTGCCCACTCATTCAATTTTTTATTGTAATCTGCATCTCATTCTTCTATTCTGTTTTAAAAACTGATTAGAATATTCATTATTTAATGTCAGGGAAAAAGGAAATAAAGGATTTGCATACTGCTTTTCTTTTCAGTCTGAAAAAGGGGAAATTTAGTTCCTATCAAGAAACTATGTCATTTTGAGTACCCAAAATTTACCAAGCTAGAAAGCTAGTTTTTGAAGAAAAGATAAAAGATCCAATTTTTTAATATACCATTTTAGTAGATTTATTTTCAAAGACTAGACAACTTACAAACCTTTCAGATTTGATTCCCAGTATAGCTTTGAATATTGGAGGAATTTCTTTTTAAGTAACTGTTGATACAGTGTTAGGATATGTGATGAGGAAGAAAAGTCTATTTTGAAGCTAAGCATTTTTTAAATGTTTAGCTTCCATCAGATGACGCTCTGCTGTGGCTATTTTTTACCTGCTGTTCCCATAAAGAACTTACCTCTGAAGAGCCAAGTGTTGAATTACAGTAAACTTCCTTCCATAAATATTAGCCACTTAATGTCTTCCTTCCTTGTATGGTTTGTTGGGATTTTTTGCATCTGGACATATTAGTGATGAGTGATTGACTATTAAATAAACTACTTGTTCTCCAAAACAGCTGTTTTAAGAGCTGGAATCTTTTAATTCACTGTGGCAGAAATAATATTTTGCTTATCTTATTAAAGGAGTTTTCCCCCGAAGCATTCAAAGCACGTATAAATACTACTACTTCTCTCTCCACTTTTATCTCCCTTACTTTTTACTCCACTATATTCCCTCATATATTCTAATTCCCTCTGTAGAGTTGAGTAATCTTGGGCTTCAAGCGGGTAAGTGACTGACCAAAAACTAGGAGAACTTAGATTTAGGCCAGTGCTCGTTTTTAACTAATATATGAATGACCATATCCAATTCGTGTTTTCCTTTGTTTGTATCACATGGAAACATCACTTATTATAGCTGTTTCTGTCTGAGGGCCTGGGGAAATTTTTTACCAACATGGTGACATAAATTTGCCTTTCTTAGGCAGGGGAAAGAAGGTGGTGTGTTGCTGTTCAGCAAAGAGCCCAGAATGTCTGCAAACATCAATTCATTCGTACATTTATTTGCATCACCTATATCTAAGTATTACTCTGTTTTATTAGTGATATATTACTAATGCTCCTTACCTTTATTTCATTACTTGTTTTAAAATAAGCCTGTGGCAATGATATTCTGGATGATGGCATGAAATCATCTTCACTTGAAAATATCTTAGCATTTACTTCTGTCATTAGTGTTATCCTACACTTACTGGCAAAAATTTCCATTTAATTTTGTTTTCATAATCATCCCTCCTTTTAAAATACTGAGCAAATATTTGTTAAGTGCTTCTTACATGCAGTATCCTCTTTCCTTTCTCATGTTTGGCTTGTATTAATCGATGGACTATCCCTATAGCCACTTTTATTTTAATGCACTATATAAAGTTAGAGATTTTTATCAGCTCTTTGCAGCTCTTGTGCTTCTTTAGTCCTTCACTCTTATGTTTAACTATTATTGTTTATCGAAAAAAAAAAGAGCTAAGCATAAGCCAATTTAAATACAATATACTACAATATTATCCTCAAAATAAACATTGCTATTTTGAGATCTTTGCTCCTCAATAAATTAGAAGATGTTAGCTTGATGTACCTTTACAAGCAACATTTCAAGAACAGATTGTACTTGCTCTCCAGAGGCCAACTGTCTTTCCTTATTTTGACAAAAACCTAATCTTTATACAATCTAATTACTTTTATGCATCTATTGAAACATTAGTAACTCCAATTAAAAAAAAGTTTAAGATCACAAAGTTAGAAGAATAGAATTTAGCACCAGAATGCCTTTATCAACCTAGGCTTTAACTGATAGACAACTTTAGTGTGTCAGGTAGTAAGAAGTGAGAACAACTGGTGCTAACATAAATGTCAGCAATTTGCTGAATGCTTTAATTAATTCAAGCATTACTGGTAACTGTTATTTACTGGAAAGCTATCATTTATGAAGCTTTAGGCCAAGGAAATGTGACTGAGGTATGTTTTAGCATTTCTTCCCACAAAATTGTTGAAATTGTTGACTCTATTTAATCTTTTATAACCTTATGTTTCAAAGTTGCTCTTTTTAGAGGAACAAATCCAAACAGATTTGAAATTGTAGCAAAAAATAATAATTCTCTTAAAGTCATTGCTTTTTTCTGTGCTTAATTATATTGATACAAGGTGCTCCTATACAGAGCGATGATTTCAATAAACTCTTTTCTGAAAAAGAATCATTATATTGTCTTTAAGAGTCAATTTACATGCTACCCATAGCAATAGTAGTCACCTTACCACTTACTAAGTTGAAGTTTATAATAAGTTTATTATAATAAGATATCTTGAAAAACAAGATTTTTTTTCTTGAAGTACCATGCAGAAGATAGTGTGTTATTTCCACCCTTATATAATCAGGGAAACTTACATGTAAGCACCCTATTTTTTTAACTAAATATTATATTATGTAATTTACTAGCCTTTGCTTTTCCTTTGATGTATGAAATGGAGGATCAATAATAAGAATAGAAGGAAACCACTCTTTTCCATAAATTCCTCTTTCTCACAGACAGTTCCAGTGAAAGCCATGTTCCCCATCTTTATTTATCCTCATTTGTAGTCCTTTTTGGAAAACATTTGATTTATGCTTACTCCCTGAAACCTATAGTTTTTATTTCTAGTATAAAAGTCTTTTGAGAAATCTAATTTTGCAAGTTGTATACTATCAGAATTCAAGTATTATAGAACAATTTCACTTGCCTTTTAAAAATTAGAATGCAGCTTGACTTTCCTTTTGTTAAATCTGCTATGAAGCACTGTAATTATTAAGGTAACAACTAAATTTTCTTTCTACTGACAATGATATAAGAATTCCTTTTCCATTTTGGTTCTGGAAGGTGTCATGTTGTTGCTCATTAAATAAGTGACAGCTGAGGTGAGAAATTCATTACATTGCTATAAAAATCTGTGAGCACATCTCTTTCTTTTCTTCACCCACCATCTTCTGTATAGCTAGAATATTAAAACTGAATCGAAGTGAGATTAATTAAACTGTTCTTATTTGTTTAAAGTCCTAAATATTAATTTTTTAGCAGAAGATAGCATGAAGTGTGTTCTATAGTAAGCTGATAAGACCCAGGAATACAGAAATGGATATCTGATTATATATTATTATGTTGCATAAGAAACATTCATACTACAAGTTGACAAGCACCAATAAATTGTCACAATATATTCTCATTTTCCTTAGCATCCCCCAGTGCTTTATTTTAAACACATTTTAATTTAAATTTTAGCAAAGATAAAAGAATAACATTGGATTCTGTGTGAAGTGTAGTGGTAGGGCCATAGGAACCAGTAGATGGTGGACAGGCACCAGGACCCAGGAGAGCCAGGATTATGGGTGGGAGCTTGGAACAGATAGGAACGGCAATAGGCCAGAACCCCGGGGGATTAACTAAAGAAACCAATCACCATTTAGTCAGATTAGAGGGAGAAGCCTTCCAGCTAGGTGAAAATAAATTAGGTAGTCTAGAAATTGTAAATGTCAATAATTGTATTGCCAACATCCCTGCTCCAGCCTTGGTAAATGAGGAGTCTGATGTGGAAGTTACCTACGATAATAAATAAGTCTAAAATCAACCCAACTGGAGTCCCTGATGGGCATAAACCATCTCTCCCTCAGTCCCTTGACTGTATTTCTCAGCATAATTGTACTTTCTGATAGACACCTATAAATGAATAAGGAAAATTCCTTACCTCTGAGAGTCAGCCTTAATGTCTAACCCCAAATTTACTAAAATGTATTCTGTAGTTCCATATTCTTTGTCAAAAAAAAAATCTCCATGATCCAATAAATTTGGAAGTCC